AAAAAAAAAAGAAAAAAGTATTAAAACTTTTCCGTTTCCCTTATAGCTCACGAGGCAGATCGTCGTCCATACCCATCAGCTCTTCCAACATGTATATTTGAAAAGGCGATGAAAGCAGCAGCAATCGTCCACGCTGGTTCACAATTGTCACCTTTATCTACTGGACATAGTACTGCTGGTATAGTTATTTGTTAACAACATAGGAAAATAATTTGTCGGATTTGAAAAAAATTTTATTAAAAGATAAGTTCTACTAGATCCAGATGAGAAATTGGTAGGGATGGAATTATCGGGTAGTTTTAGAATACTTTGATTAAGGCTTGTATCTAGCTTTTAGCAGTCCCTTTTAGCTGTATGTTTAGGCGGCGGTAGCGGTGTAGCAGCATACGGGAATACGATTCAGTTACCACCATTGGAATTGATTCGGCTACTACCACCACTTTCCCCGATGTATCCACTAATTTCAAGCGGGATGCAACGACCGGCGACATCCGCACCATCGGAGCATGGCTTCTTTGCTCATGGTTTGGGTCCTCAAAAACAAGGTAATATTAGTTACGTCACTGTTGATGGAAGGAATTACTGGAAGAAAATCTGTTGTCAGTAACATGAGGATAACATGCCTTTCCCCACGAACCGTCTTCCCGTTGACATGATTTTAAGTGATAGTTAAAGTATTGAGAAAGTAATAAGCATAAAGTATGGAACATTATAGGATGAGCGAATTCTATTCCTGCCTGACCCAGCCATAGCTCAGTTGGTAGAGCGGAGGACTGTAGAGTATGAGCTGACATCCTTAGGTCGCTGGTTCGAATCCGGCTGGCTGGAGAGTTGTGTTTTTTCTAATACCAACATGTTATAATTACTATTGTTCGTGTATGTTTAACGATAAATCAGTACTGTCGTACTTAGGTGTAACCTTATGTGACTTGTCATGTGGGGTCGCTTTTAAATTGCATTAAGCTATCGCACATTTGGCTCGTGAAATGGTAATTGAGATGAAGTGACAATTTGATTATTCATAATTGTTCCACTAGCTCTTTATGGATAATCTGTTACAAATAATGATAATCTTAGCATCCTTTACATTTTTTTCTTTTCTATGCTATAGTGCTGCAGGACTTGGTATAGTTGAGGTTTCAATTTTACTTCCCTACACGTTTGCTCCCATTACTACGTATTGTAGTGATGGCGACTACACCAAATAAACATGCACAAGCACTACGTAAGAGTAGGTATTTCATATTATTTTTTAGTATCGATTTTTCACCTTTTCAAGCTTCTATAAAAAATTAACATCCATTTGGGTATTTCCAAATATGACTGATTGATTTAGTTAAATATTCGAAATTGTCTTTTTATTTGTTCATAAATATGGAAGTAGTATACACACACACATACACACACCCATAAATATCATTTATAGGCAATAAGAATGGTAGTTTCGGTGCCGCTGGACATCAACAGTTTCTTAGTAATCTACATGGTATGCAAGGTAATGCTCCTCTACTGAGTAATGGAAATAATCAACAGCGAAATATTCAGCAAAATCAGAAAACCCGTAAACCCTTTTTCATGCCTTACATGAGCTTGGATGCGGTGAATCGTGGATTAGCCAATGGAGATCTCATCAAGGTATCACTCATGTGTTTTTTTTTTTTTATCTTAAATACCTCTTGATGTCTTCTATCCCATTATTGACTTCCCTGCCGTTCACTATGGATGTTGGACGACGTGAAGAACTTTTAATTGCATTAAATTCACTTAAGGGTGTTTTGCGTGTTAATCAACGTAACTATGAGGAATCATTTGTGGACAATCCTATGGGCGACGAACAGCAGGATATCTTGATTCTTGGTGTCCATGATCGTAATCGCGCACTTCATGGTGATGTTGTCGTTGTTCGCATCAAGGACAGGAATTGTTGGGTTGTAAGCTCTACACTGGTGCTTAATTTTTAACTTATATCTTTCTGTACTTTTTTTTGTGATTTGTAATATTAAGGTCCGCGATGCACTACATGAAGCATGGCGTAGTGGAAATTTGAAAGCTCGTGTCGATGACAATGGCAAACCATTGACTATTCCACCAATCAAGCGTAGCGATTACGAAATAGAACTGTCAGCAGCTGAACTCTTGGACGTAAATTATTTTTTTCCTGTAAAGACTACAAACCATCAGAGTTTATTACCATGTGACTTACCTGTGGTCTGAAATTTTTATATGACAGTGTTTCGTCTTCCAGTTGCCCACATGCGTTGACAAATGTATTTCAAGTGAAAAGTTAAAGGAAGATGTGCCCGTTACAAAGAATCGACGATACAGCCGCGAACAGATGCTATGTATTGCTGCGAAGGTTGTCTTCAGACTTGTTGTTTCAAATCCCTGCTTCTGTTTTATCCATGGAACTTCTAACTTTTATGTTGAAGATGATGAATTTCATTTCATTCCAGCTTGAATTGGAACGTCGTAAACGAGTTACAGATGACAACAGTGGTATTGACCCGGTTATACTGAGTACTATATCCAAACTCGCCATCGTAAAACGAATTGATTCACCAACGTATGTTAAAATATCCTTCGTTTGATTATTCCAGCAGCATCTAAAAAGACAGCTTCGAAATTTACTAGATATATTTTAAGAAGTCTTCCGCACTCTGGAGCATCCGCATGTGGTACTTCCATTTCAAGTTTGGGAGTCGGTGCAACGACACGGCGTAATGGAACTAGCACAAATGGTTCTGTACAGCGGCGATCAAATTATCGAATTTTATCGGATATGCCGGATGAAGACTGGGGGATTCCTGACATGTGCCTTCAAAAAACCGCTGAGGTTATCCAAACATTGCGTTGCTAAAACCTTCTATAATTCACTCATTTAAATTATGAATAATTTACCATGATTTTGTGTCTTTTAGGCGAGAATTTTCAGGTAGTTTTTATCAGCGAGCAGAAAAACTGTCGAGCTGCAGTAGGCATGCTAAAAATGATGGCTGACGGGAATCGTAATTGGGCACTCTTTTCACCGGGTGATTCACGAATGCCACGAATGATGATACCAGCGGAACAAACACCTGCTTCGTTTTTTGATCGTCCCCAAGATTTTGCGAAGTTCATTTATGTAGCACGAATGGTAGAGTGGCAAGCGACAGCTCAATTTGCACGAGGGTAAGCAATTTGTGCTCGCTGCTAATAATGTTCTGAAGAAGTCATGTCCTGCTAAATAAATTAATGATATGTTCAGGAAGTTATATAAAAGCCTTGGTATGGCGGGCGATATAGAAGCAGAAACAGAAGGATTACTATTGGCGAATGATGTTGATACCCGAGAGTTTTCGCAAGCTGCACTTTCGTCACTTCCAATCACAGAAGCGGTGGAATGGAAAATTGATGAAGTTCATTTTTTCTTTAAATTCAAATTGATGAAGTTGGTTCGATGGTCCTACTTCTGTTGTGATACCCCCGCATTAATTTTATTCTCCATTCGGTGCATATTTGTCATAGAACTATGTACCGTGTTTACAGAAAGAGTTCAAATATCGAAAAGATTTCCGAGATGAAACTGTGTTCACAATCGATCCAAGCACAGCACGAGATCTGGACGATGCTCTCCACATAAAACCGATTTCAGACTGTGATGGAGTTGGTAATCCTGGTTGGGAGGTAAGTTACAACAGCGCTCCCAAATTTGTGTCAAATTCATGTTTCATTTCTAGGAAATGGAAAATATACTGAAAATTCCAGATTGGTGTTCACATAGCTGATGTCTCGCATTTCGTGCAGTTCGGCACCGAACTTGATCATTGGGCTTTTAGCCGTGGCACATCGGTTTATCTCGTCCACAAAGTTAGTCATTTAATTCCACTGCACTTGCTTTGGTGTTCCTTGAATTTAGATATTTTTCTGAGATTTGTAGGTGATTCCAATGCTGCCGCAAATACTTTGTGAAGAATTGTGTTCATTAAATCCTGATGTTGATCGGCTGACGTTTTCGGTAGTATGGAAGGTCAATGACCAGGGCGAAATATTTGATGAGTGGTTTGGACGTACAATTATTCGGTCTTGCTGCAAACTTTCTTATGAATATGCGCAGGTGGCGGATTTGGTTTTCTTTTCCTGCTTTTTCTTCATTGTGCTAATTATAATTTTCCAAGAAATCTTACCTGATGTCCTCATATTTACTCCTTGTAGGATTTTATCGCTAATCCAGAGAAAGATTTCATTCCGTCCGAATTGCCAAAAATTTTCAATGGCAAAAAATCGGATGAAGTGAAAGAAGCAGTACTTCGCTTGCATAAGGTATCCTTTATGAATACTTTCGATGCTTTTTGATTATTTGAGTGAGAGGTAAGAAGGAAAAATGTATCTTGTATATGTGTTTTTATTCCCAACAATTTGATATCTTGGATCTACTTAAGCAACGTGCATATCAAAATTCCAATTATTTTACTATCTAGTTTTGCAGATTGCATTCATCCTAAGAAAAAAACGATTTGAAAACGGATCTCTCTATCTTGATGTGCCCAAACTGAGTTTCACACTTGATGAAACGTCAGGAATGCCTAACGGTCTTTCTGTTGGCGAAGTAAGTTTCTTGATGGTTCTTTTGTCTAGACCCATCTAGAATTATTTTTCTAAATAAAACAAATGTTGAGATTTACTTCATTATAGCGTAAGGAGGCCAATTTTCTTGTGGAAGAGTTCATGCTTTTGGCAAATATAGCTGTAGCTCGGAAAATTGAGTCAGCATTTCCGAAGACTGCACTTTTGCGACGACATCCACCTCCAAAAATAAAGGTATGGTTTTCTCATGTTTTTTTGTAGAATTTTCAAAGAAGAGTTTAATGGACTTCATTTCGAAGTGTTGCCAAGATCCATCGAGAATTCTTTCTTTCTGAATATTTTCTTAAATCTCATTTTTTAGATGCTGCGCGATATTTTGGAAAAATGTGAAAAGGTAGGCTTCGCAGTAGATGGTTCTTCAAGTGCAACAATCTCTTCGAGCTTGCAAAAGTATGAAGGAGACAATGAATTAAAGCGAACTGTCGTGCAGGTAATACGAATAATGATATATGTTTTATAAATTAGAAATCGCAAAACTAGATATCGATTTTCTGCATTTTTTTTTAGTAACTAGTATGCCAAGAAACTTGAGAAAACTGAAGAGTGAAATATCGGGTTTGTTTTAGATGCTGACGCATCTACTGATGAAATCAATGCAATTGGCGTTATATTTCTGCGTTGGTTCGTTGAAAAATCGAGCTGATTATGCACATTACGCTTTGTCGGTGCCATTTTATACTCATTTCACCTCACCAATACGTCGATATCCAGACATCATGGTTCGTTGATCATTGTAATAAATATGTGGAATGGGTTTAGCAGTTAAATTGTGTGAAATCAAATTTCTACGATCCAAGCAGGTTATTTTCATTTCCATAATGTAGTGCTTATTGGGGTTAGAATATCTCGAGAATTTAATTATGTATATTTGCTTTTTATCATTTGCATATTATATATATTTGCGTTATCCTTTTTACTTTCTTGTAGATGAGGAATTTTTTAGGTGCATCGTTTTTTGTCAGCAGCACTCGGTTACTCTCCTGCTCCGGGTTTGACTGTGAAAGAAGTCGAAACGATAGCAAGTCATTGCAATGATAGAAAACTAACTGCAAGAACAGTCTCGGAAGCAAGTGATGATATGTTCTTTGGTGTCTTCATTAAGGTTTGGTTTTTTTCTTATATCAGTCTTTTGAGGATGAACAATACAGCACAGGTGATTTATTCGTTCTCTTCATCTGCTACTGGGCATGAAATTCAGGAATGTGGACCACTTACAGAACGTGCTGTGGTAATACAAGTACTAGATGCTTCTTTCGACGTTCTGGTGGTAAAGTACGGTGTTGTAAAGCGTGTTTACACAAGTGTATGTTTTTTCTATAAAATTTATGTCAAAAGGAGCTGAGGAGTTCTTCATTAAAAGTATTATTTAAATTGACAAACTATGCCAAACTTGAGTGTCATGTTTAGATTGTTTAGAGGTGTGTAAGTTCCAAATATTTTGATTATTTTATTAAGGAAAAATAAACAAAACAAAAATTAGTATCGTTCATCCTGTATAGTTTTATTATTATTATTGTTGCTGTTCTTACTAGCAATGCTGATGTAGAAGAACGTGACTTTATGTTGAAGGATGGTAAAATACGTCCAATAAAAACAGTGACAGCATATCTCAGTGAAGCTTTCACATTAAAAAAAATTTCCCAATCTTCTAGCGTCTACGGCTGGCACGTGAGCCACGCTTTGTCGAGGGTCCATGCCCATCACTTCTTCTTTACTGGGATTCCACCTGTGATGGGTCAAATGCTGCTATCGAGCAAGTTATTTCTATGTGTACTGTTGTGGAGGTAGTCCTTTCTGCACTTCCGGAACCAACGAAATATCAGGTAATTAGTTTATTTGCAAGTATTTTTGCATTACGTTTTGTCAAGAAAGCTATACGTTCATTATCCAAACTAATTTGTGCTGTCTGTTGCATTCTTTCGGTCTATTATGTTGTAAATGCAAAATCTTGAAGTGATGAACGAATTTGTTGTATTGTCTGTTCTTCAGGCAGTGTTGAAGCAACCAGTTAATGGTGAAAAGTTGTTGTCCTTGGCTGAGGTTGTTGCTTCGCTAAATTAGGTGATATGACAGAAGCTGCCATCGTTCGCGATAATGATTAATATCCGGAGGAAATGTTGGCGGCAGTAGCAGTAAGAATTAATTATAAATAAGACAAGGCAGCTATTTCCTTATTGCCCCCCCCCCTCCCCACATTTCATTTTCTTTGCTTTGTTAATTTTGTGTCCTTTTTTGTCAGGAAAAGGAAAGGAAAAATTCATTTTCTGGAACGTGTTTATAGATATAAATATTAGAACTGATCACGAACATTATAAGTCTATGAATTATTGCATCGAATCTCACGTATTATTTCGGGTTTTCTTATGTTAAGAAAATAATTGTAATTTTATGAATAGGATGTATTGTATATTGGTTAATAATGATACCGACGGAAATGAATGTAAAGTATGATCCTGTAGGTATCGGTCTTTCCCATATTTTCCATGTTCCCTGTATTTCATAATGTAGCTGTAAAATGTGCAGTGATTTATTTATGCACGCATACCGAAATATCTGTTTCTGTCGTTTTGAAATAACTGTTGTTTAATAGCTTACATTTATTTAATTTTACCTATATTTGCTTTTTTATTTTTTCCTTTAGAGAGCGAATTAGTTTACTTTCGTTTTTGCTTGTGCTATGGGTATTCATTTTCGAGTTCTTTTGTATAACATTGAATATTTCAACTACTTATTAGTTCTGCTTTCATCCTTTATAAGTGGTTTTTTGTTTGTTTTTTCTTCTGTTTTTTTCTTCTTTTTTTTGATGCATGCATTGATGTATGCGATTGTTTGATTAATGCTCACAAATGATCATAGGTCTTATCCCTGACGTTTATGATGCGCAAATGACTAGTTGTACTGCCACTCACAAAGGTTGTGTTTCCATCGTTCTGTTGTTTCGTTCAAATTCGCATTAAATTATTGTAATTGCATGTAAAGTTGCTCGAAGTGGTTGCCATCCTTTAGTTATTTGAAGAAGGTATGATATTCCTTGTGGTATTTCTGAAATATTTATACCTCTCGCAATCATCCTATGTTTACACATGTGATAGAATGAGAAAAGGGTTTTATAGCAAATGACTGGTCAGTTTGGTAATAAGGATATTCATATAATGGATATTGCCGGTAATTCAAAAGGATAAGGAGTTACTACAATTTTAAATGTTCGGTATCGAGGTTTTTTCCATCGTAAATATTTGCATCACATGCTGATGTAAAAATGCTAAACGATAGAGATCGAATCAATTTGATGAAGATGTTACGTAAAAGTTGTTCAGCATGAAAAATCGATTCTCAACTTTGGATGTATTTGCTGTGGTTCATGACTTAAAGGAATTGACTGGTCAACGTGTTGCCAATGTATATGATGTGGATTCTAAAACATATCTTATACGGATTCAAAAGTACGGTTTTCAAGCTACTAATTAAGTTTTCTCCAATGGTTCAATATGACTATGAAGGCTGGGAAGCGAAGCAGGCTGGAATTTTATATATATATATATATATACGAATCTTATAGGCCAGATGAAAAGTGCTTCATTATGTTGGAATCCGGATGTAGGATTCACAGAACTACATTTGATTGGCCCAAAGCACAATTTCCGTCCTCTTTTACAATGAAACTTCGGAAACACATCAGGCATAAGCGGTTAGAATGTGTTACACAGCTTGGTGTTGATCGAATTATCGATATGCAATTCGGCTTCGATGAACATGCATGTCATGTGGTAGGTTATATAGTATTATCAATTTAGAGATTGATTTGGATGGCCAATGCTGCTGCAAAAAAAATGATTACGGTAGCTGTTTCAAAAGAATACCTGGTCCCTCCATCTAGCAAAGAAAAAGACCAATCTTATGGTTTAGACGGGAAATTTAGCGATCTGAAAAGAGATATTAATTAACAAAAAAACAAGAAGAGAGATATTAATTAGGCTGACTTATTTTTTTACTTCAGTATTTAATGACTTCTCTTTTCAAGCCGAAAAAAAAAAGAAAACGCGAAAACTCATTCATGATATTAATTGCTGTGAATTATATTTCTAATTATATTTCCAATCATATTTTTTTGTACTTGATGAAATCTTATCATAGATTGCTGAGCTGTATGACAGAGGCAACGTGGTGTTAACGGATAACAATTACACCATACTTAACGTGTTACGGCCGAGAACTGATAAGGAAACTGATATGCGTTTCTCTGTTCAAGAACGGTTACTATTCCCACTTTATCCAATATAACATTGCCGTTTTAGTTTCCATGGATTTAGAATTGAAAAAAAAAGCCACATTTAGATATCCGCTTGAAGCTGCACGACAAAATGTTAGTTGCCCAACCAAAGATGAATTGATGGAAAGATTAAAAACGGCCAAAAAGGGTGAATCAGTGAAGCGGTTTCTTGCTCCTCTTACTCAGTACGGTCCTACTTTAATTGAACATTCATTGAGAACCGTTGGTGTTGCTCAAAATGCTCAGGTTTGGCCTGGTTTGATATTGTAAGTGTGACATGTTTCGGACAATTTGTTCACTTTTCAGTATTTCAGTTTGTCAGATATATCGTTTACTTGATTCGCTAGATGTGATAGGGCCGGTCTTCACTATGATTTAATGCCTTCTAATTTTCGGTTCATTCCCATCCGCCTTCTAGCTTTTGTAGTATTGTATTAAATTAAGTGCTTTAAAATAGAAGATGATTATTCTGTTATCCTATGATCGCCGGAATTAAAATCTAAAATCTTGTTTTTCATGGTACCTTATTCCGCATTAGTAGTGCTGAAATTTGAGATCGGTGTAAATATCGGCATGGAAGAAAGTGGTGCAATGAAGCTGTTTGAAGCCCTTCAACTAGCTGATCAGATCTTCAATGTAATTAGATGCAATGCAGCACAAGGATTTCTAGTATATAGAGAGGATGCGAGGATGGATGGTGTTATTGTTGAAACATATCAGGTTCGTGTAACTTTACGTGGATTATTCATGTACTGTTGATTTTCCAGTCGTATTTTCATTTATAATAATTATATTATACCTTTTTCAGGAATTTCATCCATTCATGTTTTCACAATTTAGCGACATGCAAACGAAACATTTTGATTCATTCTCGGAGTGTGTTGATGAATTCTTCTCGAAACTGGAATTGCAAAAAGCTGATGTAAAAGCGCTAAATGCAGAAAAAGAAGCAATGAAGAAACTAAATAACGTCATAAAGGATCAGCAGGTGAAATTGTGATGATCTTTTCAATCATGAAAACTATTCTTAGTCTAAAAAATTTGTTTTTGTTGCCCACACAGAACGCACTTCTCCAGATGGAACTTCATTGGTGAATAATTTTTGTTGCTAATGCAGGATCGAATAGCAGCTTTAAAAGTGGCGCAGTTAGAAAGAGAAGAAATGGCTGAATTAATTGAACTGAATAGTGATTTGGTTGATAAAGCTCTACTTGTTATTCGATCAGCTATTGCTAACCAAGTAATATTATCCTGCTATCCTTTCGTTCACAAACGTTTTAAAAAAATTCCCAGGGACTGATAAATATGCTAATTTTAGCTTAGCTGGGAAGCTATCGAAGAAATGAGAGTAAATGCCTGTGAAGCTGGCAACCCAATCGCTGCTTCTATCGTTGGTTTAAATTTAAATTCAAATCAAATGACACTGCTACTCAGGGATCCGTATCGCCCAGAAATTGATCCTAAAAAGGTAATTATAGTGCAGGTATTTAATGAAAAAATTAAACCAACTCAATCCTAGTCGTCTGACTAGTATCTGAAGTGATTTCCAGTTTGTGTGGTTTAAAAGCACGTTTAATAAATGGAAAGATAAGCATATAACATGTAATTCTTATTTGAGGTGACTATTGATATTGCTTTGTCATCCTATCAGAACGCTAGAAAGCTCCATACCGAGAAAAAAGCTGCACAACAAAAAGAGCAAAAAACAATTTGTGCTTCATCGAAAGCGTTGAAATCAACTAAAGTAAAAATAAAGGAAACGCTGAATGTGGTAATGTTTACTTTTTTCTCCTTAATTTAGACCAAAAAGGGAACTAAGATTGTTGAATGGCCTAGCAGGAGTGAGAAGTTTTTGTTCACTTGAAAGGTTTGGTTCATTCTGCCTTTTTTTCTTACTTTTTATTTCCGTAGTGTTAAGGTTCACTCAAAAGCTGAAGTTATGAAAAAGCGACGTGTAATGTGGTTTGAAAAATTTTTCTGGTTTGTCAGCTCCGAAAATTATTTGGTAATTGGTGGTCGTGATGCGCAGCAAAATGAGCTGCTTGTGAAGAGGCAGGTTTTAATTTCTCCACTTATCATTTTTTTTTTTGAACCATGAAAAAAAGTCAATTTCTGAAAGTTCTAGGTATCTTCGGCCAGGTGATATTTACATGCACGCAGATACACGAGGTGCATCATCCATTATTATACGCAATAAACTGGGTGGTGGTGATATGCCACCACGAACCCTGAATGAAGCTGCTACCATGGCCGTTTCTTATTCCTCCGCATGGGAAGCGAAAGTAACGAGCGCAGCGTGGTGGGTTCATCAGCATCAGGTTGCTCATTTGACATTATTATTGAAGCTATTGCATGTTCAAGATGGTAAGGAAAAGATAATATATCGCATTGCGTTTCTATTACTTAAGTTCAACATTCATTTTTCGGAGATGCTGTAGTGAGCAATGTTCTTGAATGTTGTCTAAAAAACGGTTGAAATGAGGTGAATTTCAAAGTTAGAAAGTTTTGGCTATAAACAGATTGTATTGCAGGTTTCAAGGACAGCACCAACAGGTGAATATCTAACACCAGGTAGCTTTATGATACGTGGTAAAAAGAATTACCTACCTACATGCCAATTGCAAATGGGATTTGGTGTTATGTTCCAACTGGATGAGGAGTCACTGGAAAGGCATGCGGAGGAAAGAAAAGTTGCTCCTGTAGTGACGAAAGACGACACTGTGAACCAAGATGATGGTGAGGATGACGGGATTTCCTTAACTGGAAGCGGAAGTGAAGATGAAAAGGATTCAGATACGCATATTGATGATTTCCCTGATGTTCAGGTAAAGATTCTTAAAATACAAACTTTGAATCCATCTCTTTTTTTAGTGTCCAGTAATATGGTGAAAAAGATAAGGGCAGCGTTTTAACTGTTTCTGCCACTTTAGGTATTTCTGAAAACTTTGAAAATTAAAGTTTAGGGGTGAAGGAGATTTTTTTATTCAGGTACGATTTTCGTAGGATAGTTCCATTATCCGCAACGAATAAATAATTATTAATAGTTATTCATTAGAAATATATATGTTCGTTTTAAAGTTACCACTACTAAAATTATCACGTAACTTTGTTCTTATTGATTTTTGAATGAGGCTAAACACTGTGCGTTAACTAACCATATTTTTACTCTTTGAGAAAGTACGAATGGGATCATCTTGATTCACAGAATTCATGGTTACAGTTGTTAGGACCAGTTTGTCTGTAAAGAGTAAATGACTAATAATAACGATATTCAGATTGACCTGCAAAACATTGTTGGCAAAGGAAAAAGCGCAGGTGAGGATGAAAGTTACACCATTATTCAAATTGGTCCAACGATACAAAGGAAACCTGCCATCAAGACTGCCAATGATACTGAAGACGATGAAAAAGCGCAAAAAGTAAATGTGCAGAAAGAAAGTGGCAAGGTGCGTCCTATGACTCGTCGGCAGAAACATAAAGCAGAGAAAATCAAGAAAAAATATGGTGATCAGGATGAAGAGGAGCGCCAATTAAGGTTGATGTTGCTATCATCAAAGCCGAAGGATACAGGAAATTTTGAAAGTTTGTTACATTTATTACACTCTTTTTACAATCCTCAGAATCCATACGTTGATTGTCGTTGGCTTTACCTATATACCTAAGTTTAAATCAAAAATAACATTAACAGATGTTTTAATGAAAGTAAATTAGTTGATGTATTAATCCTCATCCTATGGAATGCTTCCTTTTTTTTTGGCGTAACGATATGTATAAGCATTAGGTGTAACGAGATCGGAATATCCCCAAGGTGTATATGTTTGCATACCACTACGATATTGTGTGGTTTATTATGAGGTTTGTTATAAGTAATGGTTTTTTTGTAGAAAAAAACATGAATGAAAAATCTTTGGAGAAAACGAAAAAGAATGTCCAAGATGGCAAAATGACGGATCAGTATGAGCATGAGGGAAAGGCACTGACGATTGAGGAGAAAGCTGAACATTCAACAATACCTAAAGAAGTAAGACATTAGTTCAAATCCGATGCAAGTATAAATCTCTGTTATATTTTGAGTCTCACCTTGAGTGATAACAATAGGCTGTTCATTGCAAACTACTTTTATAGCAGAAAGAATGAAAATTTGAATATGAAATGAAAATTTGAATGAAAAGAATGAAAATTTGAATATGAAGATGAGGTGGAATGAGACCGGATGAAATAATCCAAGAGACGTAACTATAAATTTCGGAGTACCTCGAATTGATTGCAAAGTGTGAAACCGCAATTTACGCTTCAAAGTAGATACATTTTGAAAACTTTCCTTCTATTTTCAGGAAGAAGATGATCAACTGCTGGAAGCAGACATGGCAGTCATGGATGCCGAAGAAACGAAAATGTTGAATTCGTTGACATGGCGACCATTGGATGGGGACGTTCTTCTGTATGCTTTAGTGGTTGTGGCACCGTACCAAACGATGCAAAATTTCAAATATAAGGTGAAGTTGACTCCAGGAACCGGAAAACGAGGAAAGGCGGCTAAAAGTGCAATAGCATTGTTCCAGGTAATTTTACTGGTCACTTCCCATTATAGCATGCAAAGAATTTTCTGGTTAATCTACTGTTG